ACAACTTGTAACTTGCCCGCTTGTCCAGTGAGCGCTTTGTGCAGCTTGATTGCAATCATAATTTATAAATGTTGCCGACAGTTTGGTTTCCCTCCAATGTTGCTCGTTTTGTTGTTATTGTTGCAACCGTTGCAGTGTGGAGCTCTGCCAGTGTTGCCAGGATTGAACTTTGTGTGCGACTGCTTCGATTCGCTTACTGACTGCTGCTGCTTGGTGTTCCTTCGTTTTCGCCATTTTTTCTGTGGCCAATAAATAAATAATTTTTGTGACGCTCTGCGCTTTCCGGTCAGCTGTTGAGTCATACAAAAAAAAATGCAAAAAAAAAATAGATTAAAAGTGGTAAACAACTTCCCAAGTCGGCCATGAAGCTGGGGGTAAGGCCAAGGCAAAAGCCATTAGGGCCAGATTCGGCAACTTTGTCCCTTGTAATTGATGAGTTGGCCAAGGAAATTGAATATGAATACTTGAGTGTTATGAGTATTATCCCTTCGAACTGCAAGATAGCACTTAAATTAAAACCAGTTTAAGAGTTGCAGCACTCCATTTGTAGCCACCGACCGAAGGAACTTCCAACATTGTATTTGTATTTACTTTACCGCATTAACAGCTCGCTGAATTTGATTGTTTTCGTTTGCTGGCGCTATTTTATAGACTTTAACGGGGGGGTTGAGGGTGGGCAGGCATAGTCTCTTCATTTGCCAAGTCTGCAACTGCAACAATGTTTTATTTTTTGTATGTTTTTTTTTTTTGTTTCCAGCTTGTTGCCCGGTTTTGCTGCAGTTTGGTCAAGTGCTGCGGCCACCATTTGTTGTGGCAATGCAGAAAACCGCAGTGGCTTTGGGTGATTTAGAGCGGATAACAAAGGGAACAGATATATGGAGGGGCATAAAGAGAGAGTGAGTGAGAGAGAGAGAGAGATATAAAAAAAAGGGAGAGTGGTCTAAATGGGAGGGTTGGTTGGGTTGCGCATGGGGCGTATGAGTGATGACCATGCATATTCATATACATTGAGATTCATTGTATTTGGTCTGCATTTCCGCAGTATTTTGTAGCGAGCATTTTATCCCGACTATGAACTGCTCTCAACTAGAGACGCGCAGCTCTTGAGCGTTGTTCGTTCTACTTACGAGCATTTCGCATTTGTTTGTCGACTATTCGGTTTCTGCTTTTTATGGCACATAGTCTGCAGATTGCATTGGGTGGGCACTGGGGTGCTGGGAATGGGGGAATGGGGAGGCATAAGTAAAGAGTTAAGATAAACAATGTGAAAGGATGCTCGAATCTGTTGCCTGGCAAATGGAGCTGTGGTTTCTGTTAGGTTATGTTGCCTTTAAACTGATTTATTTTCAATTAAGCAACATCATAACTTGGCTAACAACTTGGCAAGTATTGCTCCCCTCTTTTTCTCTCTCCATTTTTCTTCATTTGCCTGTCTCTCGTGCTCCTGTGGCACTTGGCTTTGCTTTTTGTTTGGCCTAAATTTACGCCACAAATTCAATTTATTTTAGATACACCTAATCCACAAAAGTAAACTTGATTTATCAACATAAATATTTTGCATGCTTCACTCTGCAAAGTATGTGAGTATGTGTGTGTGTCTGTGTGTGTGTGTCTGTGTGTGTGTGTCTGTGTGTGTGAGCCTTCTCTCTGGAGTGCATAGCTTATGGCAGGTCTAGTCTGTGTTTTATACCTTGGCAACTAGAGTTGAAGAGTGTTAAAGGATATGTTTGGCTTAGGCAAGTGTGTGAAATTGTCAAATGTGGGCGGAGTGGGCAGAGCAACTGCCAACCACATTAGCTAGTTCAGTTGGTTCACATCCTTTTCGGCTGGCAGGGTATGCCCAGGTCGAACTTCCTATGATTTTGATTTGTTATGTTATTGCTGTTGGCTGCTAAGTGAATTTGAATTTGAATGCACTTGAACGGATTAGTTAACTTGATTACGAGCATTTTGCTGTCAGCCCATTAAATTTAATTTGCTATATGGATTTACTGAAAGTGCCCTAGACATTTGCAAACAGCAAACAATGTTTTTGCCCATTGTCTTGAGGGTCGAGCAAATAGAGTTTTAAATTAAATATCCAGTGACAGCCGTAATGGAAATATTTTCGAGTCCAGTTAAGGCCAGGGCGAAAGATGCATTGGCCAGGACATGATAGTTCCGAGTCGACTCGGAAGCAAAGTAAATGCTTAATATTTGCATGGCCCGTCAAGTTCTCAAATAATGCAGTTAAAATATTTTAACAGCATTTGCTTGCTGCTTTAGCAAAATGAAAATGTCGGCCGAGTGTGTTTTATACTTATCAGCAGCTGGGATTCTAGTTTGTCCGACGGCTTGGGGAGCTGCAGATAGTTTCCACAAGAGCACACACACACACACACACACACACATACGCACACAGGAGCTGTTGTAGTATAAATCATCATTTGCCCGACCGTTGTAATGTGCTCGGATGGGACGCAATAATGTCCTGGCTGGCCTCCAAATTGCGGAAGAGGACAACAGCAGCACGTCAGGGCAGCGGTAGACTGGAGTGGGACTGTGGGAATTGGAGCACTACCCGCATAAAGGGTTGGCTGCGACTCGCCTAATATTAATGTGGACATGTTGGCCAAAAGGCTTATCATAATTTAGTTGGCTTACTTGCCTCTTCTGGCCTTAGACCTTCACCGCCTGCGCTCAGCTCCCAACTGTGTTTGATGCAATCGAAAACCGCGAACACACTCGTAAGTCATTGAAAAAACAAATGCCTTGTCAATTGGCGGCTGCCCACAAATGCTATAAAGCTGACAAATGTCTAACAAGCGCACCGCAGAAACAGCACAGAGCAGAACAGAACAGAGCAGAGACAAACAGAGCCATAGACAAAGCCATAGAATCAAGCGGCCAGACGGGCGGGAAAGAATGCGACAGGCGGGGGTGCGAGTTGTTGATCACAGGTACTCATAAAACTGTCCAAATGTCAATACTCCAATGCCACATACAGTGACACACACACACACACACACACACACAAATTGACTGTGCTGCACGAGCATATCCAAATCCGAGCGCACTTTTGTGACATGCAATTTGCACGCAAACTGAAAAAATAGCTGTGTCCAGTTAGATAGTTCGCTGTATTTATACCCTGTAATTTGAAGCTCAAATTCAATTAAATTCAGTATAGTTTCAAATCTTATCTATATTAGCCAAATGTGGTTGTGGTTCTTGAAATTTAGTATCTTTATTTAGTATTATTATAATTTATTTCATATGGTTTGGCCTATGCATTAGTGTCGGTCACAAAGGGGTATACAACATTTGTGGCAAATCAATAAAAACAAAGTACTATGTAGCGCATACTTTGATTGCCACTCTGCCTCTCTCTCTCCCTCTCTCTCTCTCTCTGTCTATCTATCTGCCTCCATCTCAGCACTCGACCAATTTCCAAAAATGTTCGACAGTCGCAACAATGCCGTGCAACGAGCAACTAGAAACGAAAAAGTAACAAGAAAATGAACATGTCAACAGCAACCATTGAAAGCACGGGCGATTTTGCTTCAATTTTTGGGTTGCTGCCGTTTGGCTTTGGTTTTGGTTCTGGTTCAGGTTCTGATGCGGGCCCCGTTGCTGGTTGTGGTTCAGGTTCGTTTGGGGTTCAGGTTTTGGTTTTTGGTTTTTCGGGGCGCCACATTTTTAGCAACTTTGTAAATATTACAAAATTTAGGCGTCTCGCTTGGCGAGCACGCCAATGAAATATTTATGAAGCCTCTGCACATATACATATATAACACATATACGTGTGTCTCTCTGTGTGTGTGTGTGTGTGTGCATATTTGTTTTCGCAAAGCGGCGCAGTTTCGTGTAAATATATAAAGCCAGCCAAAGTCGACAGACGACGACGACGGACAGGCGACGACGACGGAGACGACGGAGGCGACGAGAGGCGACGAGAGGCGACTGACTGAGCTGAAAGTCTGATAAACAGACAATTTGGCAAAGTGGATACGTGCATGGCGCGTATAATTTTGGGCCGTACACCTGAGCCACGGCACGTGGCAAGGGGCACAAGTCGAGCCTAGACGCTAGCTAAGTGCAACAGGAGCCACAGCCATTTGGCCCGCATTTGGGGTTTCTCATCTGCCTGTGTGTATTGTTGTGTATGTGTATTGATGTGGTTAAGATGTGTTGTGTTGTTTCATTTACCTAATAACCGACGAGCTTTAATTTAAGCGTATCCACAAATTTCACAAATTCAATGCAAGATGTTGCAAATAGGTAAATAGGAATTAGGAAACCAGTTAGGCACATGTACATGTATTCTATTTTGACGTTGTCTAAAATTCAATAACACAAATTATGTTTTCTTACTGCAAACCTCAACACCCCCTACCCCTCTGACTCACTCCCTTCCCCCTCCAGCAAGCGGGCATCGCATGAGAAATGCAAACGAAATGCAGCGTCTGGTTGGAAATTTTACGATTTAATCGTCGGAAAATTTATGGCTTTCGGTGCGCACAATTTCCCAGCAGACGCGGCGTCAAATAAATAAATGGAAAAAACAACACAAACACACACAGACAAAAAAGCGCCTATAAGCTAAACTTGGCCGACAGCAGATGTAGTTGTTGTTGTTGTTGTTGCTGCTGTTGTTGTTTAAAAAAGAATGAAAAGAAAACTGGCCCAAATGCGGCCACTGGACGATTTTGGCTGCAAATTGAGATTGGGCATTCATAATTCTTGCAGGCACCACATAATAAATTCATTTACTCTGACTTGTTAGCTGTTTTTTATATTTTATATTTTTCTTACTTTGTTTTTTTTTTTTTTTCTTTGTAAGTGGCTCGACTCTTGGTCAGTCCAAGCGCTTGATTTATGTGAGAGCACAAAATTAAATTGCTGTTGGCAATTGTCAACTGACGATGACAACTTTCTATCTGAAAATAACAACAATTGTTTGAGTTCTGTCTGCTGATTGATTGGCTGATTAACTGTGATTCTTTGCCATCCAATTGCAGGTCAATGCGGGCAGCCTTTCCGAGCAGGCTGGCATGCAGCCCGGCGATGCGGTCATCAAGATCAACGACGTTGATGTCTTCAGTTTGCGCCACAAGGATGCCCAGGACATTGTGGTGCGCTCCGGCAATAACTTTGTCGTCACAGTGCAACGGTAAGTGCTTCCCCAAATTGTTGCTAATGCAATCCATTACAGCAACTATCCCTCTATATTTCTCCCTCTATCTCTCTCTCTCTCTCTCTCTCTCTCTGTATCTTTGTGCAGTGGCGGCTCTACCTGGCGTCCACATGTGACGCCAACTGGCAACCTGCCCCAGGCCAACTCACCTTATTTGCAGACAGTGACGAAAACTTCTCTGGCTCACCAGCAACAGGATAGCCAGCACATTGGCTGTGGCTACAACAACTCGGCTCGTCCATTTGTAAGTCAACTAATTTGCAATCACAAACACCCGCACACACACACACACACACACACACAGACACACGCATGGTTGGCGGAATGTGTGTGGCATACATTTGTGGGGCAACAACAATCATTTATAAAATTTTATAAACTCTCAACTGGTTGACCAAAAACTTAAAAGTTCTTGAGGCACGTTTTTACAAGCTGGCATTAGTCCGCACTCCGCCCACAATTACAACTGACACTGACGTGCTGATGACCAATGATGTTGATAGTTGGTCTCCAGGGGAAAAGCTCCTCTGATGACACATTCCCTTTAATTGTGTGTGTGTGTGTGTGTGTGTGTGTGTGGGTTTGTATGTGTGTGTGATTGTGTGTGTGTGTTTCATTGTTGTTGTCTGTGGGTTTTCATATTCATTCATTTCATTTTCGGTATGAGTAGGAACTTGTCTGTTTTCTATGAGTTGACAACATTTGCATTTATACGATGTCTGCTCCTCCGTCAGTCCCTCTGTCCCTCGATCCCTCTATCTGTCTGTCTGTTTGTCTGTCTGTCTATCTGTCAGACTGTTTGTGCGTAGTTTTGAAAAGTGTCAGAATGAGTAATGAATATGAGTGCTGGGATTATTTGCTGGCAAGAATTAATGTGCAAAGGGCTCACATTCACATTTACATGCACACACATACACACACACATATACCTATTCAAACTCACACACACGCCCACACACACACACACACACATGTGCCATGCATAATAATATCTCTGTTTGTGTTTGATATGCATACATTTGCGTACATTTTATTGTTATGAATTTGTATAATAATATTAAGTCCTGTCACAGAGCAGCTACCCAAAACATAAACAGAAATTGATTTTCTACGATTTATCTGGCAAAAATTCATTTTCACATTTTCATCTTTTCTATTTCTATTTCAATCGCGTTCTCTCTCTCTCTCTCTCTCTCTCTTTCTGTTTTGGATCTGAACCTGGACATGGACATGGACATGGACCTGGACAGGCCAACGGCGGCGGCGATGGCGGCGTGAAGAGCATCGTCAATAAACAATACAACACCCCGGTTGGCATTTACAGCGATGAATCTATTGCGGAAACACTCTCCGCCCAGGCGGAGGTTTTGGCTGGCGGTGTTCTCGGGTAAGTTATTCAATTTTCCCACCCAACACGAGCTCGACAAGCGTTGTGAACGCAACAACAGAATACCAGAAAACATCATTTGGGTTTCGCCTAACGAGTCTTAGTTGCCCTTACGCATAAAATATGAATATTTTTCGGCTGATCTGAGCAATAGCCTGCATCTAAAGCCATATCCAAGCCATCCACTGTTTTTGCTCGACTTGTGAGTCTAATTTTAAAACGGTTATGCCCTGACAATAGGGGATACAAAGATAAGAATTGTGGGGAATGTTGCGCTGTTGCCGTGACAGGCGAATGCCACAAAACTTTTACTTTAAAATTTGTTTTGCTTATTCCTGCGCTGGCTGCTGACTTCGTTTTATTGCTCCTGTGCCTCCTTTGGCAGGCAAAAAAAAAATAAAATAAAAGAAAAACAGAACAAAATAACTAGAAGGTGTCCTGCAACGACCGCACGAACGACCGCCGGGCCACCTTAGTGCCTGAGGCCGAGTGCAATTCAACCCAACGATAGAAGGTCTGTTCTATCTCTGCTTCCTTCCGCTGCTCCCAGCACTTCCCGCTGGTCGGCCAAGTGTTTTCTGTGTTTTCAGATGTGCCAGTTGTCCAGTTAGGGCTGTTTTTACAAACGCACGCGTGGGATTTGCACGCTTTCTGCACTTAATTTCTTTGGGGGCATATTTTCATGCTCTTACAGAGGCCATTTTTATTTGGCAGAGCAGTGAAGAAGATACATGTTTAACCCAATAAAATAAATATCTATTTGTTTTTGTAGGTAGTAAATATGTCCCAATATCATAGCTGCAATAGAAAGTATCCTCGAAAAGACTATTTCTTTAATGAGCAACTTTTTTGTATACCAAACACATTCTTTAATTATTTCTTTTGAAAGTAAGTGATAAAAATTCACAACTATACCAATCAATATATGGTAGGGTATATAGTCATCGGTGTGCCCATTTTGTAGTGTTTGTTTTTTTGTATTTTTTATCTTGAGCCGCCTGGGTGTGGCCAACGTGTCGTATGCGCAACAATGTTAGCCGCACTCATTTTTCACAGCATACTTTTGCGCGTGGTGTGGCTCGAATGGTCGCATCTGAAAGTATGCAACGGAAAGTGCAAAAGTGTGTTATATATCAAACTAGCCTAGTTAACAGTATCTCATGTTCAATTTCTATTTGTTCTCTTTTGCTTGCAGCGTTAACTTCAAGAAGAACGAGAAGGAATACCAGGGCGATCGCTCTGAAGTGCTGAAGTTCCTGCGCGAGGAGGAGACTGGACAGTCGACCCCAGGTAACCCACCCAACTATGAACTGGCCCGGTTGCTACTCATTCTAAACGAGGGCGCCAATCCGTTTCTATGCGACACTTTGACTGATTAGCTTAGATTAATTGATCCAAATAGACTTCATGTGGGTGGGTGGGGTGTAATATTACTCATACAGAGTGGGACGGGCTGCCAACTGATCTGGTTGCGCAGTTGCTTGTGCTTTTTGGCCTTTGGTTTATAAATAGTATTTACAGCAGCGATTACTTTTTTTAAAACACACAGCGGAGACCTTGAAAGTAGCTTGTTTTATTTGACTAAAAATATATATTGTTTGCCTCAGTCGAGCCCTTAGCTTTTTGTATTAACTTGTACATTCTTTAATATATTTGTATATTTGCTTTATCTTTTTATTTATTTTTTTTGTATACATCTGTTTTATATGCGACAAACAAAGACAAACACAAAGAAATGGACTTTCGTTTTCTTTATCTTAAATCGCATTTCTAAGGCAGCCCACACAACACATATAATATTTACCAAACAGTTTCTCAATCATCTCTATCTACTTCTTCTACAAACATACAAATAAAATTATTATATATATATATATGCATATAGTCAGTAGATATTGTATTATAATTAGTTATTAGGCAAATGCAAAGCAATCTGCAAAAGTACATACATTTCTCAATATTCAAAAACACTCTTGAATTAGGAACACTTATCAATTAGTTCAATTTGATTACTCTGTAGTTGAAAAAACAAATGTCAAATTGTATTAGGAAATGAATGTTGCTTGCATTTCCTACAACACTTTTCTCTTTATGTCTAACTCATATTTGTGTTTCGACTCTTTTCCATGCGTGTTACCCACATTTAACCCAACAACAAACAAACAAACAAACAACCAATACAAAATGGCTGCTCATCAAACACTCTTAACAGCATTCAACAACAACAACAACTATGAGCATGATGCACCCCAGCAACAACAGCATCAGCAGCAACAATACCATCAACAGCAGCAACACCAACACCAACACCAACAACAGCACCAACATCAACACCAACACTATCCCCAACAACAACAACAACAACAACATCAACTATCAAACAACAACGCCACTCGCCATGTTAGTGCGCCCATCAATACACCAAAGCCCCCAAGCACCGGCGGACTGCCAACTGGGCAAAACATTTGCACTGAATGCGAACGTCTCATTACGTAAGTGGTCCACGATGTTTCGTAACGATTAAAACGTAAAAATTTGCATTTTTATACTAACAAAAACAATAACTATAATCGTAAAAGTCACATTGTCATTAACACAAACATTAACATTAACAGTCGCAGCATTTAAAATGCTGTCGACTGGGCATTAGGGTCAATTAATTTCATACTATTGAATGGACTTAAGTTGGTAATGAGAATTGAGGGTTGATGAAGACTAGCAGTTGCTGGGGATTATTGAGATCGAGGGCTACACATAACTAGCAAAATAGCAACTCACTTGTCACTTGGCTGTGTAAACTGATTGAACTTTTGTGCTGTCAACAACAATTTCGGTGTAGAGCCGCACAGTCCGGCCAACTTCTATTGGACGCAGAGCCATGCGATTGGCGGCAACGAGCGACGCACGCCTCTGCCCCACAACCAATTTCAGTCGCCGACGCAGTTGCAGACAGGTGGCCAGGATGAGCGCATCGGCATCAATTTGCAGCAAAATACATTGGCGCCGGCGGCCACTCACAGGCCCAGCCTGCCAGTTGCAAAGCAGCAGACGCAGCAGCAGCAGTCCCAGCAACAGCAGCAGCAACAGCAGCCGGCTCAAGCTGATCCGCGCAACATTGTTATGCCCATATGCCCAGCGCTGCAGGGTCCCAACTACAAGGCGGATATGGATGCGGCTACAGTGGCATTGTCCAACGATGCTGGTGGTGTGCGGCCTTTGTCCGCCAGCGGACATCCGACATGTCAATTGTGCGGCGTGGGCATTGTGTAAGGATTTGTGTTCCATGTTCAATGATAATTCATACTCCTCTGTGTCTGCGTGTGTCTGCTTGTATGTGTGAATGTGTGTGTGTGTGTGCACGCATTTTAATTTGCTTTTATTTCGAAGTCAATTGTTTAAATTTATGCAGTGCACATGATTATTATGCAGACGCCTCCACACCTGCGACTGCAGCCAGCGCAGAGAGTCCTGCTGCATCTCCTGCTGGAGTCCAGTTGGTGTCATGGGAATATCATCATTTGTATTAATTTGTATGCCAATTTAATTGACTGCCATTGACGACTCATGAGCTTAATTCGATAATTCATTATATAGATTTAACATACATATTTATTTTCTTTTACATTCATTTATTATACCCTGTACCCTTTAAAAGCTGATAAGACAGAGGGTTGTCTGAGCGTGTGTAAATTATATGATCTGGATTTATTTGGAATATTCTCGTGTGTCTGAGTCACGTCTAGATTGTTTCAATTTATCAGTTGTACTCAAAATTTCTAAGGATACAGGGTATCTGCTTGTCGGGCCCTCTCGACTCGAACATTAATATTTATTTTTATTTAATTTATCTTTGACTAACAGGTTCGTGCTTTAAGTAACCACATAACGAGTATAAACCACATAGAACATATAATAATAATATAATTATTAATCGCCATCAATAATGTTTAAATACAATCGCCAATTCTTTATCGATTATAACTTTTCGAAACTTATTTCCAGTCGAATATAAGTTATTAAAATGTTGTCTTGTTTCTTATGTAGCGGTGTCTTTGTGCGCATCAAGGACAAGAACCTGCACGTCGAGTGCTTCAAGTGCGCCACTTGTGGCACCTCTCTGAAGAACCAGGGCTACTACAACTTCAACAATAAGCTCTACTGCGACATCCATGCCAAGCAGGCTGCCCAGCAGCATCCACCAGCTGGCACCGAAGGCTATGTGCCAGTGCCCATTCAGCCGTAAGTTTCTTATTAATTAACAATATATATAGTAACAAATAGATCGACTTTAGGTATATACTTGCTTGTTTTAGTTGAAAAATGAGTTCTTTGTTGAATTGTCCAATTGAGATGCTGGGAAATGAACAAAAAAGGGGAAATGAACATGAATATGAATATTAAAATGCAATGCAAATAAATGCATATCTTTTATCTTTTTGCCCAAAACACGTTTGACATTTCGGCGGGACAGCCAACAAAAGAGCGACACTGGCAGGGGACCAACGGAAAGGACTCCCAATATTGTTTGCTTGGGGTCCGTTCAGCTCGCTGCTGATTGTTGCATCTGCTGTGGACAGGCAAACTGACAACTGATTGCTGACGTGTCAGCGGTGAACATTTTTCTACTCTGTTACCAAAGGTATAAGAGTAAATGGGTATCTGTCCGTATGAACTCAACTCAAAATGATATTCTTAAAGCTAGTCAAAGGAATATGAAAATATTCTTAATGTTCTTGCGTTTGACACAAGTAATTTAAAAAGGATCCAACAGCAACTGTTCCAACTCTTGTTAGCATTACGATAGTGTTAGAGTATTACGTAGTCGGTCACATTCGATTTTCTTACCTGATGTTTAATGCAATTGCAGCCAAAAACTGCACATATTCGATATAAAAAGATATATGTATATATGCATATATGTGTAGAGATACGGGAGAAAGGGCGTAGTCAACAATTTGGAGCAAATAAGAGCAAAAAATGTATATTTATTCATTGGTCTGACAGGAGTTTGTGAATGGCAATTGGGCATTGGGATTTGTTTGAATTTTAACCAAATGGCACAAATCGCACTTAATTAAAGGGCTCGCACAACAGATGGCCAGGAGATGTTCTCTCTTGGGGGCAATTAAAAGGCAGCCAATTAAAGTGCACTGCACTCTAGCATTTGTTAATCATTGGCTAACCTCCTCCACTTTCCCCATTTACCTCATTTCCCAGGAACACCAAGCTGAGTGCCAGCACAATTTCATCGGCCTTGAGCTCGCATGGATACAGCACCAATGGCTACAATGGCAACTCCGCTCCGGCACCGGTAAGTAAAAGTCGCTCTCAACTTGCTAACTGTTCTGTGTACCCTGGCGTGCTAAAACAATCTTGTCAGACAGATATACACACACACACTCACACACACACACACAAATGCACAAAGTAAATGGTTTGAGCCAAGCAAGAAATGCAAAAGGGAGTGAAAAATAAAACAGCAAAAACAAAAAAACAGGAAAACCAAACCAAAATTCGAAGCTTATACAAAGACGGTCCTGAAGTTGGTGCTACATCTTCTTCTTTACAGCTCGTGCAGTTCTGCTTCGTCTTCTTGTTTTTACATCCAATTTTATCATATTGCTAGCAAAATGTTTGCATAAATTTCGTTGTATAGTAAATTTCGCTTGCGGCAGATATCCATATGCTAAAACTGTAAAAATCATTTGGCCAGAAAGAAAAATGCAATGCAATGCAGAAAGTTTCAAGGCAAGCCAAAAAGAAAAAAAAAATCCAACAAAATATCAAGCAACCAAAGGGGAAAAAAACTTTAAACGATTTCTTTTTTTTTTTTCTTTCCTTTTTCTTTTTCTTTTGATTTTGTTTTTGTTTCTGTTGTTGTTTACTCTTCTTATTCTGGCTAAAAAGTGATAAAACAATAAAATGGAAAAGTTTATGCATTTGTGTGTTACTGATGTGTTTTCACTTCTGCACAAGTGTCTCTGTGCGTCGTGCGAGTGTGTTTGTGTATATGTTTCATAATTTGCCTTTTTCTTATTATATGCATGCTATATGTATCAGTTTAATTGTGCTTACTTTTGCCATTGTGCTGTGCTTAAATTGTGCTTTATCTGCATCTGTTTTATGATACTGTGATTGAGCAATGTAGCAATGAACTACTGCAAGAGGCGATTGTTGCTTTGAATCAATGGATTGTATGTAGTATAATTATGTTGGGAGATGTATGTGCCAAAGTGGCACATCGAGCACGAGAGTTGACAATTGAAATTAGGTGCTGCATTGACCACCCACAGAACGCGAATCTTATAAATAGAAAGTCAAGCAGTTGCCACTGCAGTAATTTTGAGTTTGCGACAATTTATCTCAAATATATCTAGATATCTATCACACTTGGCTGCTGTATTGCCGTTGGTCGATTGCAATAGGCACTGGCAAACTGGCAACTGGCAGCTGACAACTTGCAACTGGCAATTGGAATCACAGCCAACTGTGGGCGCTGTTTTTTTTTTTTGGCTGCTGCCAGCACATTTCTAAATGAATGGGTAAATGGCTAAATGCTAAATATACCTTATGCCAAGCGCTGCTTTTTTTTATTCTAGATTATTTTCGTTGCATTTTTTTTTTTGTGTTTTTTTTTGTATTTGTTTTTGTTTTTATGCAAGGGCTATAAAAAACACACAGCTGCAATTGCAGACAGCCACAGCCACAGCCATAGCCACAGCCACAGACACCGCAGTGGAATCTTTTGCGAATTCGCGTTCAGTTTGCGTCTTCGACTCGTGTTCGCGGCACGCTGGCAGCAAATGCTGCAGAGTGTAGTTTCGACATCGTTAAATCGAACATAATAACAATAATAGTGTGTTATACTCCTAAAGGAGAGCAAAAGAAAACGCCCTTCGAAGTGGATTATCCCAGCCAACGAAACGAATAAGTCATTATTTATTTATGGTGTCACTTGACAGATTTTCAAAATTGAATTTCAAAGTTTTCAGCTCTTGAGTGTTGCATAACGTGACTGCTTTTTTTTATGCCAATATAAATTGTGTATTCTATTACACACACACACACGCATATATATATATAACTTACACAGTCTTTTTGGGTTAGGGGGAATGCTAACTTTAGACAATGAATTGACCTTGACCTATTAGCTATTTTTAGTGCAACTTGTCTGCATTGCTCATACGCCACGTCGCCAGCTGCAATACTTTGAACACAATTTAAAGTCACTCACAGACACAGACACTGACACCAACACACCAACACAGATAGAGCCACGCATTCGTGTCGGCCAATTCTCCACTGCATTTTAATTAACTGCCTTTATTAACTGTGCATCAATTTACATGCTTGTTCCCGCTACCCGTTCTTGTGTTGTTGCTCACATGCCTGATGGACACCCGTTTGCCCGTTTGCCTGCTCGCTCGTTCGCCCTGCCTATTAACACGCGTACGTATTAACACATTAGTCCGAGCCAATGCCAATGCAAGCGCCAGAGCCTGAGAGCAGCAGCAACAGCAACAGCATTGAGCTGCCTCTGCCACCGCCACCTTCACCCACACAGCTGTTGCAATACGAGGCCGAGGAGCTGTTGCTGCTACCGCCCCAAAGCCAAACACAAACCTCAATGGCAGCATCCACAACCCAAGTCCAAGCCCAAGCCCAACCGCAGCAGCAGCAGCTGCACCACCAACAACAACAACAACAACAACAACAACAACATAGTAAACACACACGCACAAACAGCAGTCTCTCATCAATTTCGAGTGGCTCATCGCATACATCGTCGTCGGGTGTGGGTGGCAGCGCTGCACTGAGCCCGACAAGCCTGGTGGCATCCAGCGCGTCGACTCTCTCGCTGGACACGGAAAACTCGCCGATGCATTCGCGCCAAGCCTCTGGCTCTTGCACATCGCTGGATGTGGGCGTTGCTCAGGGTCCGTTTGATAATTATACACTGTCAATGCCATCACCGCCACCACCACCGCCACCACCGCCAGCAACAGCAACAGCTACAGTATCCGCATCAGTACAGAGACCCACACATCAGAATGAGAATGACATGAACACGCAGAACAAGAGCCATAATGCGTATAATCAACTCCTCAAGCAATATTCCAACAAACTGCAGCACCACCCAAACAACACAAATTCAAACACAACAACGAAAACAACAGCAACAACAACAGCAGTCACACAAAACAGACAACAGAACAACAACACGGCCAAGCCATTTGCAGTCCAAGCCACAACAGCAACAACAACTACGGGGCAACTGCAGCCCCATGTGGCAGCGTTGACGGCAACCCTTGCTAATCAATTGAAATTTAATTCACATCAGGCAACAACAGCAACAACAGCAACTGCTGCAGATAACAGTGCCCCAAATCAGACACAGTCTGAAATAATGTCAGCCAACGTGGCCGACGAGCAGTCATCATCAGCCATTTACGGTCAAATCAACACCAGCAACTATAACACCAATAACATCTATACCAACAACAATAACAGCGATGCTGCTGCGAGCACAGTTCCGTTAATGCAGACATCATCGGCGCCTGGCTCCGATCAGCCACCGTTTGAGTATGTCACCTTGACCGGAAATGTGATACGCAGCGTGCAGCCGTCTGGTAAGGGTGCCGGTGCCAACTATCGGGTAAGTAATCCCTGACCCTGCCCCTGCCCCTGCCCCTGCCGCTGCCTCTGCCCCTGCCTGCCACCCTTGGTACACCCCGCTCGACCGCTGCAAGCGCTCAGCTTTAGGCCAGTCCAAGCTCTATTTCTAACACCAAACGTTCTGTGTGTTCATTGTTAATTGTGTTGCACGGAAACAAATCCAGATTAATACCATCACTTTGCATTTTCAATTTTCCAATTGTGCAGGTCAACCAGGGCTACGCTCGTCCCTACGGCGCCTCTCAGCCGCCAGCAGCAGCGCCCAAGTCACCGGTGTCGGTCTCGTATCCACCACAGCAGCAGCAGCAGCAGCAGCAATCACCACGCCCCGCTGGCAATCCGTACGCAACTTTGCCACGCACCAATGTTGGTCAACAAGGTAAGACGATGACGGCTGACGATGAGTCATATCAGTCTCTGTCAGAAGGTGAATGGGTTTAGTCCAGATACAACAAGAAGCATACTCATGTACTCAAGAAACTACCTACTTATGGGCGTGTGATATATACAACTTACATATACAATTATCCAAGTTTAGCAGCTTGTTCGATTTTGTTTTAGAGAGATTTGGGGGCCCAGTTGTCCAGCCACACTGGCGACTCTAGTATTAAATGTATAATTTATCTGTTGTTAAGTTAAAGATGATATCAAGTTTTTTTATTCGAATAAATTTTGCTTATAACTCAAAACCAAACCAAGACCAACTAACACCAAAAACCGTCCCCAATTTCGAAATGCCGCCTGCTTAATTAACTTAACCATCTAATTGCAATTGAAACTTTAAGTGTGTAAACAATAATTTAAGTCGATGCAAAAGTCCTTGAGTCTCTGTATATATATATGAATATGAATGGTTATCTATGTGTAGGTCGTAATGTACAAAGGTACAACAGCCTCAACAGACAACAACAACAACAACAACACCATCAGCAACAACAATACCATCAGCAGCAGCAGCAACAAAAGCAACAATATAGAAACTCATACCCAATTGGATCAAGCGATAAATATGCTACCATGCCTCATACTCAGACCCAATCCTACAACAACAACTATAGCACTTACAACAGCAACAACAACAACTATAACACTACCTACAATCGAGGTAATCCATAATTGTTGAACTTGCCTCAACAGCAGAAGCCTGCAGCAACCATCCCGCTACTGGCAACGCGTACTTTTCTCCATAACCAATTTTGATGCTCCGTTTGATTTGAGTTACTTGATTGCTGACTGACACAAAAACATTCACACACACAAACATTCTCAAACATTTGTTGCTGCCCTTAGGCTCTGTTCCTCTTAGAGGGATTGGTAAATTAATCGCTTTGCTGGTAGAACTGAAACTGGTTGCAGATGTTGAAAGTCATTTAATCGAGTTAATCACGAACAGAAAAAAAAGTCATGCAGCATTTCGTTGACAAGCCCAATTGATGATAGGTAAAGGCATTTTAAGTAAATAAGTTATAATACGCCCAGACGGGAAATTAAAACCGACAGCGACAACAACAACAACAACAACAGCAACAACGGCAACAGAACAACGGCAACCGACTTGTTGTTTTTGGTTGAGATAGTGCCTGGGAGAGGGGCCCAGAGTGTCAACATTTTCAATGCCAGTGCGATTGCATTGCTGCAGTTGCTGGCTGCCTGTTGGCAGTTTTCAGTTGGTTGTTGGCAGTGAATGCCACCCGCTTCCGGCACATTGCTGCATTGTACTGAAAGTCAAGCCAAACCCAAACGCGAACCCAAACCAAACCCAAACCGAAACCAAACAAAACCAAACGAACGTTACGTATACGTAATGTTGTAAAACGAAACAATTCGTGTACGCACGCATACATACGTAAATACGAGAATAAAATAAATGATATAAAATGTATTTCGGTTCGGCATTGCAACGTTGCAATATCTGCCGCGCCACCCACTCTACCCTCCACAGACCGCATCAGAAAACCACTTTGAGTGCAACATATATACGTATATATTGGCGGATGGAGAGGAACAGTCTCTGAGACACTGACTGCAACCATTCAGTGCACAGCCACACAAGAAAGATTCAAACTACAAATTTAAATACAGTCTAACTTCTCTCTTCAAATATTGTTGCCAACTCGGAAAAAATAATTAGAAATTTTACCGGATTGTTTTCAAATCAAATTAAAGAGACTTCTACATTCTTATAAAGACTTCCAGCAAGAGAATAATTGATAAGCTGTTGGATGCAGGGTATCTGCTCGTCAAGACAACTATTACTTTTCAAGTTAAGTAACTTTACCGAAGTTAACAATGCTTTTCCCGTTGATTTGATTTGATTCGCTGTTTTCCAAAACATATAAATTAAAACCAACAAATTGGTATACAATCCACATACTCAAAGTAATTCTGTACACACTCAGCTATATGCTAATAACTCGACACATGATAATGAACTGGTTTCCGTGTGATTATTTCTGGCACTCACTGTGCTGGTCGCCGCTTCTACAAGTCGATTGCGTACTTCACACCGATTTTAACCATTTTTCGTTGCACACACAAACACACACACTCGCACACACACACACACAGTTACATATTTGTGTATGCAAAATAATATTCATATGCTGACATATGCGAGTGTGTGTTTGTATATCAATTACGCGTTTTTATTGTTGTTGGGTTTCATAACGGAAATGAATTAACTGCAAATATGGCGAACAGCCGTTGCAACAAGTACAGCCCGAATTGATAACAATACAATTTATTATCCAATTTTTTTATGCGCTCATGCAATTAAAAATGCAATTTTTACATACCTACACATACCTACTCGTTGCCTAAAATAAAAAGTTGTATCCTTTGAGCCGCGAGGATCGACCTTTTAGGCCACAAGTGCTAACGATGCGAGCCGCACATTCGAAAACAAAAATCAATCTCCTAATCAAAGCGAGAATCACGCACAGCCGCAGCCATTATTCGAATTTTTTCTGGTCGGGGGAGGGGAGGGAGCTTTTGGGTTTGTGGTTGTTGGCTTGTTTTTTGGCGGCATGCCGCCAGCAGCAGCAGCAGCAGCAGCCAGCCAACAAAAGTGCGTCAGAGCAGCTGGCAAAAGCCGCCAAACACATAAAAACAAATCCAGTTGGCAAATCCCACAACAACGAAACACGCTTTTGTGAAGTGTGTGGATTGGTGCGCGGCGGGTTCGGGTTCGGGTGCAAAAAATGTGCTGGCAAACAAATGTTTGTACTACACACATACCAACACGCACGCACGCACAGCCCCCCCTTTCACTCCCGGCCCCACTCGGCAGACCCGCACAACAATGTAAACGAAGGCAGATAAATTACCAGTCATTATTATCCAAACAGGCTGACATCCTGTGCTTTGCTCTACCCATTGCTGCTCGTCTCTCTCTGTCTGTCTCTCCATCTGTCTCTGTCTCTGTCTATTTCTCTGCGTCTCGGATTGAAAGCGTGTCGGACGTCCATGCATCAAATGCCTCGAATTCCATAAAATTGAGGTAGTAGAGGGAAATAGAATGTCTTCCGTCTTGAGCACTGTAATTTATCGTATGCATTTTATGTTTTCTTATGACTTACATTTACTAGCCAAAAACTGCTTTAGAGCATTTATTTTTTTTTAGTTATTATTAAGAAAAGTATTGAATTTTGATCAACATTTCTGGTTTCTCTTTTGGCTTCTTTTAGGTTACGGTTACCAATATTCCTATTAAAAAGCCCCATTGTCCTTGTAGACAGAAAAGCAAAAACAATATTTCAAACAACAAATGCAAAAAGGGCAAAACTGGTGAATTTTTGGAAATATCGTTTGCTCGTACAAAAATATTTTAAAACAAATCTTAACACTGTGTTTTTTTGTCATATATATATTAACAGGAAATTTTTGAAATTATACAATATGATTTTTTTAATAAATTGCACACTGTAGTGTTGCACCAATACAAACTTATGAATATATATGTACCATATATACACATGTATTATCAATTATTTGTGTACTCGTACTCACGCTAAAACGCTTCTCGCTAACCGCATTCAAATGCGCTCTCTAAGCACACACGATATATATACAAATATATACAAGAATATGTATCAATACTAATAGGAATGGCATTCTCTGAATTCGCCCCTCGCACATCTTTGCATGCCTATATTGCCTATCTGCAAACATACATACATACATATAAATGTATATATATATATATATTTATATGTTTGTATGTATATACCAAAGAGATACTTTATGCAAGGCCTGTTGGGGCCTCTTATTATTGCCAGCAACTGCGACAGTTTCGAAACTTTTTGTTTCTGTTATTGTTTCAGTTTGTCTTCTGTCGACACTTTTTGATATGATAAAATACTTGCTATAATTTTATTTCGAATTTCTCGCCATCTTTTGTCATTTATTTTATCGTATGCGTACTCATCCGGCTCTGTTGTGTATGTGCGTTTCTGCCATTTTCAATTTCTGCAAAATTACAGCCAATATGAAATTATGCATAATAAAAAGCAATGACTACCTGTCGTCGCCATTTTGCCTCCGCACAGACGTGAGTCCCCATAAAAAATTGAAGTAAATACACACACATATATACTTATATATATGTATATAATATATATATATAGTCGTGTCTAGCACAGGCAGCGCTTGGCTGTTTGTATTTATTGTTGTTGCGCCATGAAAATGGTCTGAAAATAAGAAATGAAAAATTTATTTGCTCGAGCGCACAGCGCACAAAACATTCTGCAATTCTGTCTACTCGTCCTCGTGTCTATCGAATTTAATTTTTGCCAACCTTTAAAATATTGCCAGTGATATTTTGTTTATATTTGTGCCAAACTTTTCTCATTATGTTTTTCGAAATTCAAAAGTCTCAAATTATCGTTTCTTTCTGGCCACAATTGATTAACTTTTTAAAGTGACTTACAAGCTATAATTACCATTAATTGTCAGCAGTCTCAGCCAGTTTCCAGTTTAGTATTCGTCTGCTTACAACTATTTCACACACACAAACACATAAAACTACACACACACATAAACTCACACACACACACACACATTAAATATTTATAGTGACACTAATGGAATACAATAAAAACGTTTAGACTGTTTTGGTATTATAAAAGGAGTTGCTGCTTAACCGTTGAACTGGTTGCCCTGAACGGCTTATTGAAATTGACGTGACTGGTTGCCAGGGCCGCCACGTGTAGTTAGTTTAGCCCGGCTTGGTTTTTTGGTTGTTCTTCTTTCTTTCTTTTTTTTTTTTTGTTGTTGTTTGCGCCGCCTTTGACAACTCGTATTTGCCACCGCCACCGCCTTTGCCACCTTTGCCATCTTTACTACCGCCAACACCTTCGACTCCGCCGCCGCTTTGCACAGTGCCAACGACTAACAAGCGTATGCATTTATTTCTTTCTGCTCTTATATTTGACCCGTGCCACCGCCACGCCTCCCCTCTTTTTAAAAACTAACCAACCGCACACAAAACGCATGCGCATTTCCCCATTTCCACACTTGCCCCTCTCAGCCGCGGAGGAGGAAGGCTTGCAACCGCAGTTTGCCGAGGAATGCTGTTGCGAGGTGGACGTCGAGGTCGCCTTAGCTGCAAGTCGACGTTCGCACGGTACGAGTTTCTCGTGGCCGCCGCCACAGGATGAGGGCCATGCGGCACCCACAGCCGCCCCACTTTACATAGCACCACCTGAGACTCAGCATATGGTGGTGGCAAATCCAGTGCAGGAGGTGCCTCCCTTACCGCCGGGCAGTGCCACCTCACGGCTCGATCCACAGCCGCAAGCACAGCAGGCGCCTCAACAGCAGCCACTGCAGTGGCAGAGCTACTCGGCGCCACAGCTGACCAATCAGCCAATTAGGGAGCAGCAGCAGCAGCAGCAAATGGAGCAGGAGTCGAGCTCGGACAGCTACACGTCCACGTCGACAACGACGACGACCACCTCTGAGGAGTATCAGCGCATGTATGCCGCCCAGCTTCAGGCCTATCAGATGCAGCAGGCCTACGAGCAGTCCGGCTCCGAGTTGGACTACCAGGTGGACTATGGCAGTGGCCAGGACATGCATGAGATACCTTCCGGTAGACGAAGTGCAATGGAATGCGTGGACACGCTATCAGCGCCACTAAGCACATACAAACTCATCGATATGGTAAGGGAGGTGACACCTAGTCCCATTCCGAACGCAGAGCCGGGGGCAGCGCCTGCCGCTCGCCACGTGGCGTTCAACGATGAGCCCGAGATCAAGGAGCTGCCCCAGCTGCACACAGAGCTCGAAACGATACCTGAGTCAGCCGTTGAGGGCGAGCAGCCTGTGGCAGCCTGGGCAGACACTGATCCGGTAGACGATCGTGAGGGTCTCATCATCGAGCAGCGTTGCCAGATACTTGAAAGCGAACGCATGTTTCAGCCAACGCCGGAGATCAGCTTTGAGATAGCGCCAGTGCGTCCGCGTCCAGCGCCCTCCAAGATACCCAATCCCTCGCCCAAGGAGTGGATCAATCCCATGGTTCGGGTCCTTACCACAGCCCCAGATGTGCCCTTCCATCTGGTCGAGTGTCCGTTTCCCAAGCCCTGCGGCGATGACTTTGAGGAGTCAGCAGCTGCAGCTGCCGAGGCGGTAGCAATCGCGCCTCCAGCCCCAGCTTCCGATCCAACTCCAGCTCCTGCTCCTACTTCAGCTCGTGCTCCATCTATTGTTGCCGCTACAATGGACAATTACGCCTCTGAGCTCCTCCGCGAGTCTCCGCCCAGGAGCACAAGGTTCAGTCAGGCAATGGCAACTGCACCCGAGTTTGAGATGCGCTTTGCACCACCGGGTGCGGAGGATATACCACTGCCCGAAGAGACCGTACCCTATTTACCACCGCCCATGGACATGAAGCCCTATTTGCGCGAAGATTACCGTGCCAAGAGTCCGTTTGTGAGCGCCCTAACCACCGCACCCGAGCGTCCGTTCGAGGGTCACTTCGATAAGGACGTACCCATCCATGGGTTAGACCTGCCCACACCCAAAGAACACCTGAGCATGTGCGATGCGCTGTCAACGGCACCCGAACGCGGCTACACCCCACTGAATCCCGAGAATGCCACCCAACGCGTCGACGCGGAGCAGAAACAGAAGGAATTGAAAAAGTATGAATTTCAGGTGCTAGATCGCGAAGAGGAGCTGGGCATCAAACCGCAACCACCGGAAACTGTGCAATACTACACAACACAGACACAGCAGCAGCAGCAGCGCAAGTCCTCAGCATTTGCGGCAATGCAAGCATTCCAGCCGTCTTGTGAGCCACTTTCCTCCTCCACCAATAGCTCGAACACAGTCACGAACTCGCCACGTGCCTCCATCTCGTCTCAGTCTAGAGAGCAGACCGATCTTGAGTATCAGAAGTTCTGCAAGGCGCAGCAGCGCAATCAAAAGCGACTCGATTTCTTTCACAAAAAGGAAGAGGAGTTACAGACCCAACAAGAAACCCAAAACCAGACCCAGCTGACCCAACAGCAACAACAGCAACACTTAGAGACTAACTCAAATTCGCTAGTTACCGCTTCCAATGCGACTGCATCCTCTGACTCCTCTTCCACAGTCCAACAGTCCACCACCATCAATAGCACCACCACCAATTCCAACTCAGCTTACGTCGCCCAGGCCAGCAGCCGATCCTCCTTTTCAGCCACCACCGCCACCAACCAGACAGCTGTACATACCGCTTGTAAAATCGAGGCTCACAACCTAATCGAGGAAATTGCCGAGGAGCTCGAACACTCTGAGGTCCTATACCCACCGCCGTCTCCGCTCAGCCATCTCAAGGGCAAAGCCGTACAGTCCGGTCTGCACCGGCCCGAAACCATACCAAAGTACCAGCGCAATTGGACAGTGCTGCCAACCCAGAGTCCCATACGCACTCCGGAACCACAAGAGCTTCGCGAGAATGTCCCGCTTGCTTTCGTTGATGCTCCCAAGACCAATGCGGGTGTCGAGACCGTACACAGACCCATAGCTCAGGATTGTCGGGGTATTTCCACGGGAGTGGCTCCAGCGGCTGCCCGTGACTCGATTGCGTCTGTAGCCAAGCCAGCGGTGCAGCCGTCGGTGCCCATTATAGTTGAAGATCGGTCGGGTCCAGTAACGATGGCTTTTCAATCACTAGATGAATACGATCATGCCGATCAGTCGCAGACGCCCACAAGGCCCTACACGCCCTCCTCCTTCACGATGATCAACAAGCCGGCACCGATCATACCCTTCTACCAGACACCGGAGAAGCTCCTCTTTGACGAATGTCCAGCTACGCATGCCCGCGATTACGAGCACCTAGCTGCCTCACCCTTTCCAGATCGGGCCCGCTCTCCGGCCCCAGGACCTCCACCCAATCCACTCTCGGCCATCAGGGCGCCACGCATGAAGGAGCCGGAGTCGGCACTTCTCCCAGTTGGCGGGCAGCCACGATTGCAGGCGGGCTCTATTACCACGGGCCAGAGCTATCAGGGCCAGTTGCTGGCACACTCGGAGCTCAGCTCGCAGTCGGGAAGTCAGAGCTACACACAGCAACCAGAGACGCTCACCGAGCGCAAGATCGGCAATCTCAGTGTGCAACAGAGAGAGCAATCATCGCAGCTGCAACAGCAGCAACAGTCCCAGATGCAGAGCCAGACCAAGACACAGGTTGGCAACACACAGATCGAACGCAGGCGCAAAGTGACCGAAGAATACGAGCACACCCAGAGTGCCAAGACCATCGAGATTCGCACGGGCTCTCAATCCCAGTTGCAGTTGCAGTCGAAGTCGCAGTCACAGTCGCAGTCCCAATCTCAATCGAAATCCCAATCGCAATCCCAATCGCAGTCTCAGTCTCAGCTAAAACAATCGGAGTCAACAGAGCGCCGTCAATCGTATGGTCGCACTGGTTTTGTGGCCAATCAGACGCGTCGTTTATCTGGCCTGGAGCAGGAGGTCAGCAATCTGACCACTCAATCGCAGGCCATCAGCGCCAGGGCGTCCACATTGGGGGAGAGCAACTTTCCCCAGCTGCGCTCGCCCACCTTTGAGAGCAAGTTCCCACTCAACCCGCCGATAGCTGATGCAGTCGCACCAATCTCAACAGCAGCATCTACATTGCCGTCCGCTGCCAATAAGCTGCTAGGTCCTCCACCCGGATTCTTGCAGCAGCAGCAGCAGCAGCAGCAGCAACAACAACAGTTGCAGCAGAGGTCTGCCTTCCAGTCAACGTCATCGGTGGTGTCCGCATCTCAGCAACAGCTGCGCTCTCATGCCACCACCTCATCGCTAACATCAGCATCTGCAATTACATCTACATCTAGTGCATCATCTGCATCAGCATCAGCATCAAGGTCGGCGCAAGCCAGTTTAACCAAAGCTTCTGCTATTACTACCACGACTAATAATCAGGCCTGCAACGCATATAGGGGCACAGGAGCTATTGGCAGCTCCAAGGCCAACAATAACATTACAGCTGCGCTGGCCAATCTGCCAATTAATAATGGCCAGCGGCCAAATGCTTCAATCGCAGCTCCAACGGCGGCTAAGCCAACCGCTGCCGCTGCTACAACGCCGACTGCGTCCGCGCCAGCCTCTTTTCCGCCAAATTTAAGTGACTTAGACTCAAATGTTGATGGTTCCACAGGTGCTGGAGGCAAGGGCGGCGCATTTGGTGCCACATCGGCTCCGAAACGTGGACGCGGCATTCTCAACAAGGCCGCCGCACCCGGTGTCCGCATCCCATTGTGCAACAGCTGCAATGTGCAGATCAGGTGATAAATTGAATCAATCTGAAGTTCCCCCTACACCTTGTTGTTGTTTATATTTGCTGTTGTTGTTGATTAACCTAGCGATAAGTTGCATTGTTGAACAAAGTTACTTGCAGTTCTTAAAACACATAAAGCTCTCTGGTCAACAGCTCGCTTGTGTCTTCGAGCGATTTACAAACTGTACAGTTTGACAGGCTTTCTTGATTGAAATCTACAATAATCCAGCACTAATTCCACGCATGTTTTACGCTCTAACCCGCTAACAATTGTTTGTTGTTTTCGTTTTCGTTTCGTTCTGTTACAGCTCCCTCCTCCTCGTCCGCCCCCACTCTTGCCAAGCCCAATAACATGCATGCTAACCAAAATGCCACAATGCCACGCCCCCAGAAAGCAACTGACAACACGCCAAACCAAAACTTGGACACGGATACGGATGCGGATGCCACAGCAATGCTGGCCGACTCCATTGGCAAGATCAATATGGGCGAACAAACGAATGCGTTTATGCAGGAGGCCGCCAAGATAATATCCAATATGCTGGAGGCTCGTCTGGCGTCCAATGGCAATGGCAGTGCTCCACTCTCGCACGCTGGCAGCACATTGAGTTTGCGCAGCAACAGCAATTCCAATCTCTCCAAGAGTCCGATGATTGTGCGCAAGCGTCTGGATCTCGACGACTTCAAGAACATTGATCCCACACAGCCGGTGGCCTTGCACTCTGTGGTTGCTGTGCCACCAACGCAGCAAAAACAGCCAATCCAGGAACTGGGCAATCAAAAAGCGGAGCCACAGGTGGCTCGTGTAGAGTTGACGTTGCCCGCTCAGCATCCAATGGGCAAAATTCTCGATATGTGTGATAATGGCAAGACGCCAACGACGACGACAACTGTGGCCCAACAGGCACCCGAGCCGGTGGCCTTTAGAAACAATCTGCGGCGCACAGGTGCTACACACGCTGCCGATCGTCGCTCCTACATTGAACCCAAGCAAAACTCGCCAAGCAACAACAACAATAACAATGAAAACAACATAAACAACAGCAACAGTAACAGCAACAATAGTCAGCCAAATGCGCCCAGTTTCAGCGTTTGCGTTCGAGCACTGGGCGATGCCCAGGGGCCCATGTCCGAGGAGAATGAGAAGGCCGTAAGTCAGTTGCTCAAGGATGGTAAGCGTCCGGTTTGCTGTCAGTGCAACAAGGAGATTACCTCGTAAGTAGCCTGCCTGCGTCCCCCGCCCGCTTGCACATGTTCCCTACTCACCTACTCACCTACTCCTCTCCGTTCACTCCCTCTCCCAATAACTGATAACTAATTAAACGTTTAATCTCAACAGAGGACCATTCATTACCGCTTTGGGTCGCATCTGGTGTCCGGATCACTTCATTTGCGTGAACGGCAACTGCCGTCGTCCACTGCAGGACATTGGTTTCGTTGAGGAGAAGGGCGATCTGTACTGCGAGTACTGTTTCGAAAAGTATCTGGCACCCACATGCAGCAAGTGCGCCGGCAAGATCAAGGTAATAACACACTCACACTCACACTCACAAATGCCTTACGGCTGAAGCTAAATTCTTCTACTTTTCCGGTTTGCAGGGCGATTGCTTGAACGCCATTGGCAAGCACTTCCATCCCGAGTGCTTCACGTGCGGCCAGTGTGGCAAGATCTTTGGCAACACGCCCTTCTTCCTTGAAGACGGCAATGCGTATTGCGAGGCCGATTGGAATGAGCTCTTCACCACCAAGTGCTTCGCTTGCGGCTTCCCCGTCGAAGCCGGCGATAGATGGGTGGAGGCACTTAACCACAACTATCATAGCCAATGCTTTAACTGCACTGTGAGTACTCCCGAGCATTCGTTCCCTTTGAGTTTTCGTTAATCCTTTCGCTTAATCCTTGTTTAGTTCTGCAAACAAAACCTGGAGGGTCAGAGCTTCTACAACAAGGGCGGTCGTCCCTTCTGCAAGAATCATGCGCGCTAAGGCCGCTAAAAGATCATATCAGATCTAACATGGCTCGACTATGGACTTCAGGGAACACGCACACTAATATGTAACACCAACAACAACAGCAACACCGATAACAACCAACAACAAATCAACAAAAAACAATCAAACAAAGAGATATAGCGCTAAACAGTTGTCAACACTGAGTAGATCGCATAGCTTATTATTGCAATTATCAAAGTAAATCAAACCTAATTATTACACATACTTAATTTCATTTTTATTCGTTTTAATTTTATTTTATTTTTTTTTTTAATATTTGAATTGTGCAACCAACTGTTATCCTAATTTTAAATAAATGAATGAATAGAAAGAGAAAGGGAAAAAGAAAAAGAAAAACACTCGGAAACAAGCAAGAATGAAAAACTGTAAACGACACGAAATCGAATTAGAAAACACACAAGCACAAAGCACAATCAGAACTATATAGTATGTATATCTATCTGTCTACCCATTTATGATTATATTATTTATTCATCATGTCATAATCGAATTATTAATTATTTACGAGAATTACACCCCCAATTACACCTATTATGTATATGTATGTATTTCACAAAAGTTATTTAGTTCAAGTTTGAAAACGATACGGTTGACCAACCAACAAACTAACAAACAAACCGCGCGAAAGGATTTCAAATCGTATCCGACATCAACCGAAATCGCAACAAATCGGAAGGAACGCAACGCTGGTTGTCAGCAGTAAAATTCATGAAAATAAATTTATCAAATTCGTTGTGACCGTAAATTATTAAGCAACAAATTAAATTTAAACGCTACTTTCATTTATGTTGTATACCGAATCGAGAAATATCTAAAATTGATTGTTCATTATAGCAAATCAGATCAATAAATTTCGAAATCTTTTTCGCGTTTAATTTGAGTGAGTCTTTTTTTGTTTGATTTTTTGAACTCATCGATATATTCAGACTCAATCCGACTGTCAGCTGGCCAATTTGCATTTGCTATAAAATACCTGATTCAAGTACTTGGCTTTACCTCTTCAAATAACTTCCCACAAACTCTCAAAGCTATCTTGGGAGCAATGTGCGAAGATGCGAAGAGCGTATTGTCACAATCGTTGGCATATTCCGGTAAGCTGCTCTCACGTATTTCGTTGACAGTCGAAAAGTATGCAATAGCTTTTGCTTTCTTCCAACATGCACAGCCACACACACACACCACACACACACACCACACTCACATATCGACACACATAAACGCAGTCTCACACGCTCCATTTCGACAGCCAAGAGCAATTTCATGCTCAACCAATTTTTGTTGTTTTCATTTGGCATTTTTCGGGGCGATTTACAAACATTTTGGTGCCTGGGGTGGGTGGGGGATTGGGTGGAAATCGCTTTTCATGCCGTTTTCCTCCTATTTTGTTGGCCAATGGAATAAGGTGTCAATTTTTGTGTTCGCTCCGCATTTTTGCGGCCTGGGTGTTAATCGGTGGACCACTTAAAGTGCCTGCAAGGGCTGCACGGTCAATACAAATTCACGCTAGATTAAGCAAGATATACGACTATGTGAGTGAGTTTCTGTGTATGTATGTGTGTGTATGTGTGTGTGTGTGTGTCTGTGTGCTTTTGAGGCAGGCTGCCACGCCCTTTTGCTGCTGAACACTGGCAGGCAGGCAGAAAGAAAAACAATTTGCGGTTTTTGTGGTATATTTCAACAATACATTTTTGCAGATGTTTTGCTTTTTAGTTTATTTAGCCTTGCACAACACGATACAGAGGACTTTAAGTTGGTATTAAGTATTTCTATAGTATATCATTTAATTTTCGTACGGTTCTTATCCATCTCCATCCATCTTATCGATCTTTACCAGTATCTCATAATGTTAACACACGCATATACCATCGCTACTATATGCAACTACAATTTATTCGTAATTAGTTTTATTTTAGGCTTTTTATTAGGTTTCTTTTTTTTTTCTTTTGTTTTCGTTTTTGTTTTTTGTTTTATCTATTTGTTAATTTGTTTTAAACGCATTCAGAAATCAGTTTCACTTTCCATTTGATTCATTATTCGAAAATGCGCGCAAAATTTGTCACCGTAGCGTTCCGTCGCGAATTTACATATAGTTTTTGTTTTGTATATATATAGTACATAGCTTCATACACATATATATATACATATATATATATAGGTAGATATATATATTTATATATATATATGTATGTATATTGAGATAGGGAAAATCTATACTTAACGCATGCTAGAAATGCACTCGAAATTATTATATACAAATCGTTTAATCGATTTTAAACGTTCTTTTATGGATGTGTTTTGTTATATTTGCATTTAGGTTTTTGGAATATATTAATACTTGTACATATGCATATGCGATAGTTCGTAATAGATATGCTTACAAAAATAAATTCAACACATTCAAGTACAACAAACATATCTTAGTATCTAAATGCCGCTTACAGTAGATATCAAAGTATATTTAGAGTTATAGTACTATATATATATATATATATATATATATTCATGTAGGAGCAGAGTTGTAGTTTTCGTATCGTACAAATAAATACCTTTGGGTTAACGAGTGTTTAAAAGTAACAAACAAATAATAAACAAACAAAAAAAGAGATAAATGAAAAACCAAAAAAACAACAAGCGAACAAACGACAAAGAAAACTGAACATTGGAAATCCATTTGGATTTTCAAAATGTTCGCATTGTTTTCCGCTTGAGTTAAGCTTCACTTATTCGCTGTTGGACATTAGGTTTCTGGGAGTTAAGGTTTGGGTGAGGGCTACAAATGCGCCAATATATCGATCTGGTCGAGTGCACTGGCCTGTCCAACCGATTGAGATTGAGATGGCACCTGTGCCTGTGCCTGCGCCCTTCCACCCGAGTTGCTGCTGTTGGCCTGCGATATGGTCACAATGGTCACCAGGTCTTTGGCCTTTGCTGTACTCTTTGTTGTCGCCGTCGACGCTGGGCTTTGGGCCTGGCTCTGGCTCTGGTTCTGGCCGCGATTCCTTGACTCGATTTCCACAATGGCCGATGTGAGCAATGTGTTGGACTGCAGCGCACTGTAGTCGGGCAATTGCTCCGGCGATGGCTCCGGCAGATCCTCATTGGCCAGCAGGCGACCCGATGGCGCCGTCTCAATCGTTCGCTCGCTGTTTAGCGTCAGTGAGGCCGTCGTCGCATTGCGGGAACGGTAACTGGGTGGCAGACTGTATTCGGAGCCGCCCATGCTGCTGCTGATGGTGCCACCACCACCACCACCAATACCCGACCGCAATGTGGTCAGGGGTGCCCTGCAACAAGAACAAGAAGAAGAACAAGATGAAGAAGCAGTCAGTCAAGAAATGAGCTTGAGATACGGATGAATTCGGATGTATGCATTATTTGCGCAAGGGTCGACATGAGACAATGTCAATGCATAAATTTGCATATAGAGTCAAGTATCTAGCTATATATCTATGAGCATTTATCTATGTATCTACGAGCATTTATCTATGTACATATCTAGTGGAAGTTGATGCCGTTGTCTGCATGCGACTTTGTCAATGTAAATAACAAAAGGCGTTCGGGCAATTGTTGCCAGTCAGTTGTCTTATACTATGTATGTACGATGTGTGTACATATGTCTGCCCGGACAAATCCTACAGAATTCACACTTCAGTCAACCGAGCAACAGAGCAACAACAACAAACAGGCATAGGAAATTCCGATGTCGGATTTGAGCCAAAAATGCAAAATTTCAAAATTGTATAAAGCAATTTGAAGTATGTAAAATTGCATTTAATTGTTCCCGACAAAGATTCAATACAAAAGGAAACAGGAATACTAAGTAAGATGGCTCTTTCTGTGTATAAATCTCTATCTCTTTCTCTCTCTCTATATATATATATTTATATATCTGTACAGCGGCATAACAGGCAATTTTCACAGGCACTCGGCACTTGGGGCTCGTCTTTGTTTGTTTAATTGACTTGGCTAACAGCTTTGCCTTGCAATTGCTTGGCTCTCCACTCAATGCTGGGCCTAATCCTTGCCAGGCCTGCTCGGCCTGCCTGACGCAGATTGCCTTTTAATATACACACACACACACACATACACACACACTACACACGCGCTTGTTATGCAATAGAAAACCGAGTGTGTAAAAGTGTGTTTCTGTGTGTGTGTGTGTAAATATTTTGCAAAATTTCACAGATTTCTTTGTTGGCTCTTGCATCATTTGAATATGCCATAACACACTGTGTGAGTGTGTGTGTGTGTGTGTTTGTATGTGTGTCTGTGTGTGTTTGTGTGTGTGTGTGCGTGTGTCAGACAGACTGAAAGCAAGTCTGCCTAAAAGTATGCTCTGATTCACTTCCACCCCACACACTTTTGCATAAGTTTTTGCTTTTTGGCATACTTCTCTGTCACTTTTTGCACCCTTTGCTTTATGAGCGCCTTGAAGCGGGCATATTAGCTTATAAATTGCTACAACATTTTTTATCGCTTCAAAATACATGCGTACTTTTGGCAAGATTTGAATTTATTGCTAGTGAAATTATATCGTATCTCAGTGGCGAGCCATGTCTGTCGACCTACTGGCTATTTTCAATTGTTTTCCACTGCTTTAAGCTTTGCCTGGCCACCTAAGCTGCTTATATGTATTTCCCAGGCATTGTTGTTGTTGTTGTTGTTTATATGGTTACAGTGGTTACAGTGGTTGCTGTTGTTGACTTTTGATTTCCATTATGTGACATAAATATTTAAGTGAATGTGGCCTTGTATATCATTACCAGCAAATTAATTTGCCATAAATTTGCATTTGTCTGCTGAATACATTCACGAGTACTCATACACCCACTCGTACACCCACTCGCACTCTTTCTCGTATTTCGAGTGCTTAACAGAGCGTAAATTTACGAGACTCGGCCGCAACTCAATATTTTTGTAACGCAATAAAAAGTAAACTTTTCTAATTAGCAGCCATTATGCGATCAAAGCGGCAATTATCTGCCACCCTTCGCCCAACCTTTGCCAAACCGCCCGCCAACTTCACCCGATGTCCTGTCACACTGGTGTCCTGGTCCAGCCAGACGTTGCCACTGTCGCCTCGTCTGCGTCCCCCCTTCTTAATACTCATTACAATGGCGCCTCATCTCATTGTCGGCGTCATTTCAATTGTTTCAATTTGCTCATTGTCTATCTGCTGTCTCCTGTCTCCTGTCTCACATCTTTCCTCCTCTGTCTGCTGTCTGCTGTCCTGCCGTGGGTGTGGTCATCTCTCCAGTCTGCCTCCGTTTCCTGTCTCCTCGCCCTTGAGTGGCTGGCAATCGGATTGTTGCGTATTTAAATTGTTTGCCATTTTGGGTGGCGACTGTTTGAAGTAGTCGTTCGGTGCTCAATTCAATTAACTTGCAAATTCCTCTCTGACGCCCACTCGAAATCAACAAAAATCATTTGTAAAAACAGCAGCACCAAAAACAAAAACAACAACAACAAATACAAATATAACCATTGACAGGCTTCCAAAGTTTTTGGCTGTTGCCGCATTAAAAAATGCCCAAAAGTTTGTGGGCCAACCCCAAGCAATGTGTCAATGTTAGCACCCATCCAGCAACCGCACAAAGCCAAACCGCTGACGTTTCAGCTGATGCTGCAACCCCAAAAACGCCAACTCCCCTACCTACCACACTTCGCTCTTAACCCCAAACCCCATCATCTCATTCCTATTCCAACCTCTAACTGTGCGCTGTAAACATTTTGTGGTTGCAGCGCTAAACTTTACAAATAACTCACGAGGAGCGTTGTAGTTTAGCATGCGAGTGGGGAGTAGGAGGTGGGTCGGGGGTTGGGGTTGAGGCAAACACTTACCTCAGCAGGCTGCCAGCATGAGATCGATATGTGGGTGGTGGCGAATTGCCACGCACCACTCCATTCTGTCGATCGCGGTCCAACAGCAAAAGTCTGCAAATAATAAGAAAGAAAAAAGAAGCAAAACAAATTATTAGCACAAAAAAAATACAAATATTTCTTGGTGTAAAACGATCCATCACAGCACTGACCCAATTAATTAATTAATCAATAAATCATCCACTGAAAATAACCGTACAAACAAAAGAGTTATACCAGTTGGCTTCTATTTGGATAATCGCTGCGTTTGCAGAATCATTTTTGATTTATTGACTTTAGTGTACACAGAAAACATTTTCGTTGCTTGAATCAAATAATCCACATTGTTGATTTAATGTGGAAATTATTAATTTATTACTGAACTGAATAAATATAGCTTAAAAAAAATGATTCATTTCAGATATAAGTATTATAACTCTCAGATATATAATTGTTGCTTAAAACAATGGAGATATTAATTAATTATTAAATTGTAAGGCTTACGTTCCTCAATTCAGTCAAACTATCTACATAAACTACCTACTAAAATACTACATAAATCAACTATCGGCAGCATACTAAATAATTTATAAAATAATTGTTTAAAATTTTAGCTGCTTCCTGTCAGTACACATACCTCATGAAGGGTAGCGCACAAGGGCAAAAATAAAACCAAAACAAAAAAGGGTATTTTAATTATATAATGCAATTAATTGCGCAAGGACATGCAAACGGATGTGGTTAGCCGCGCATGTCCGCCGCTGTCCTTGCCTGCCACACACGATTTATGCGTCATGCGAGCTTACCCCATCTGCCATATCTCTAATGTTTATGTGTGTGTGTGTGTGTGTGTGTGTACCCACCTCAGACGATACTCCTGCATGCTGGCCTGGTAGGAGGGCGGTGGCGGACGATGTTGGAACTCCGGATAGAGCAGTCCGTGTGGTGCACCGCCGCCACGAGCGCAGGGGCGACGTCCGCAGCGGGCCAAATCGACGGTGGTGCCCAGTCCAAGGCAGCTTTGGCCACCGGGCGCTGTCATCCGCCAAGCAGCGCCGCTAACGGTAACCAGCACGACGCCAACTCCTGCAAAGACACACATCAATTTGAGTTATATGAAACAACAGAAACAACAATAACAACAAAGCAAAGCTATTGGCGAATAGCAAAAGCAATTGTTAAAATGAGCGTCCAATTAAGTGTTTGCTGTTGTAATTGTGCTGTTAAATTTAATTAGACGTCAAACGCTGCGTGGGCGTGGCGCACAACTACTGCCAGCCCAGCCCACTTAAAGCAAATCGAGCGGCGCTGTCCAGCAATTTGAATCTGAAGGGGCAAAGCCATCGACCAAGTCTCAAACTCCGAGACTCTGGCAGTCTCCGCCTCAGTCTTAGTGCCAGCATCCACTTTTACTTTCGCCAATCAGGTCCGGTCCGGTCGGAGTCGGAGTCGAGGCTTTCCTTTTGACAACTGACAGCTGCATGGGGCACGTCTAGTGGCACCGACAAGGGGGCAGTGGAGCGTGTCATCATCATCATCAGCGAGACCCCCTAGCCCCAGACCCCCACAGCTCAGAGCTGAGAGTAGTCAGAGTTAACCTGAAGCTCTGACCGGCAGCTGATTAAAGCCAACAATAAAGGTAGGCATTATTTTTATTAGACGAAATTGTCGTCGTTTTATAGTTGTTACTGTTACTGTTGCTGTTGTTGTTGTTGTCGCATATTTTCATGAGCAATTTGCGCTGAACAAGAAGAAGCAGAAGCAGCAGCAGCAGCAGCAACAGCAGAAGAAGAAGACGAGCAGCAAGCAAATGACTGCAATTTGTGCGTTTTCGTTTATGAGTGCGACAACTCGAGAGGAGGCAGTGGCAGTGGCAGTGGCAGAGGCAAGCGGTTTATTACTAAGCGGCATATGTGTGTATATGTAGTTGAGCCGAGTTAAGTTGAGTTGAGCTAAGTTGAGAGCCAGTTGGAGGCTTGATTGCCATTAAATTATGTAAAACTTTGCGTTACAACTCAACAATTTTTGGTAATTGCCGCCAGAAAATGGCGCAATGTCACGCTTCGAGTGCCCTAACTAAACGCGACTGGCAATTGATTAGAGCGTCGTATACATAAGTAATGCTCTCAAACCCAAAACCCCAAAACCCCAAGCCCAAACCCAAGCCGAAAGTCAAAAACGAAGTTGGAGACGGACGCGGACGCAGACGCGGAAGTTGAGACCGTAGACCGCGACGTGGTCGTTTGCACTTGGCCCCGCTTTTAGTTACGTGAGCCGCTGCTGAACTTTGTGCAGAAAGCGAAAGAGCCAAGAGAGAACTTTAACGAATGACTCATGGGTAATAGCTGAAAACTTGACAGATTTAATCAGAGGCGCTTACAAAATGTTTACACAAAATGCACAAACAATTGTTACTCAACTCGTTCGATAATCACTTTTTTTGTTGTCAAAATATAACAAGCATAAAAGCAGGCATAGCTGATGAATTTCATTTGGATTAAATTGGTAAATAATTGTTGCTATGTGATGTTTTTTATATAGTAGCCCGATGTTTATGATTTCTATATATATATATATATATCTTGTTAAGCAGGAATGTTTTTCAAACAAGTACACAAGTCGTCCAATCCGACCGGACGGATATATGACAAGCTTCGTCAAGATAGCTTCGAAATAAATTCTTGACTAGCCTAGTCATAAACTCGGCTAGGGATGCTGATAAGGAATTCATTCTTGAAAAATATATAATATAAGGGCATAAAAAATTCCTTCTATTTCTGCAGAATCGAATTTTTCACATTCCCGGGTTATTTGTTATTGTGATTTGAACGCAGCCTTAATTGGCAATCGTCAAGTTAAATTCTTTTGTATATATCGCCTGTAGAGATAGAGTCTCTGTGAGCATTTCCCACAGATATGTATGAAAGATAAGCCACCCACACGGGACAGATGGCCAGTGCCAATGTTTACCAACTATCTGTACTGTCTGCCGCATAGTGGAGCTGATAAAACTCGTAACCGGAACTAACTGCTCTTACAATATTGACACATTTTGTGTCTTTACAAATTTGTTTGCTCTTCAAACTGGGTCAGCACACACAGTCGCGCCCAATACAAAGGGCAGCAAAAATAAAGAAGAAAAACCCCAATAACAGCAACAAAGCAACAAAGTAATTGTAGAAATTGTTTGTGTGTGGGGCAGCAACAAAAACTACAGCAAAAACAGGCCACCATTTCACATACGTAATTGCAACAAATGTGCGAGTTGTGTAAACATCATGAAACAGCAATGTTTTAATGCCATTTTTGTGACCCCAATTAATTGTTGGATATTTGCTTAAATACATATAGATTGTTACGTAATCGAGTTGTATATCCTTACTTACCAATCATTAGTAGCGCAGCAGTTAGATGTGAATTTGGCGGACCCGCCAGTCCGGTGGCACCCAGTGCTGCACCACCAAGGGCGCAGGCGACGCCTCCGAGGGCAACAACAGCAATGAGAGCACGCAGCGGTGGTCCAGCAAACCACTGGCCACAGCAGCCCTTTCCGGACCGTTCCGACGGCGATCTGCAAAGAATAAACAATTCTTTTGTTTAGTTTTCGTAGCACTGGCAGCAGCTGTGACTGTGAACATTTTTCGGAAAATTTCAGCAAACATTCGCACAGAAATGGTTTACAAGTCGGACAGCGTTCTAGCTGTGCGCAGGTGGGTCCGCAAGGACACTTGCCACGCCACGAGCTAAAGCAACTGGCAGCTGTTCGGAGTTTTCGTAGCGCGTGCAAATTGCTGGAAGAAAGGGCAACGGCAGCCAGGCAAACTTAACAAAAGCGCAGCGCGAAGAGAATGTGCGAGACAATTGTTGTAATGTTTTTGATTTATGAGCTGAAAGACAAAAAATTTGCGCACCGAACACAATAAAACAGGCAGACGACCAGACGATGACGATGAGGATATGAATGAGCTTGGTATGGAGGCTGTTGCTGTGGATGGGCAACAGCGTAAAATATTTTGCGCATTTGCCAGCCGAGCATAGAGGAAAGCAGCAAGCACAATTTATGTGACGCAGACGCTCCAGGAACCAAAAACCAGAATCAAAAACATCAATGCACAGTGTCTCCGAAACGCAAATTATGATGTTGAAAATTGTATTTATCTAATTAATACAGACTAAATGCTGCCTGGCAACTTTCAAATATAGAAATATATTTTTATATTAACCTTTTCCTTTAAATTAGAAAAGGAGTTCAAGCAATAAACGAATGAGAAACATTTAAGTTAAAATGTAGAAGATAACAATTTATATAAAATATATTGGAATATTAATGTTAAACACAAAAAACGGCTAGATTAGGTACACCGAAGATAACATTCCCCTGTAGACCGATTCCATCTGTATTTCAACCACCCGATGGCGATATAATATATATAATAATATAGTAGTGATATGCAGATAATTTGTTACTCAAACAATGGGAGGCAGAGATACCTTAAAGTTGTATGACTTGAAGACAGGTAGGTCAACAAAAAGACAGCGCTATATTGACTCGGCTAGTGAGGCTGATTAAGAATATATGTATAATATATATATATATATATGAACAAATAAATTGTATCAATAAATTAGTTCGCGTACACTGTACCAGAGTGCAAGACTGACGACAAGGACGACGTATGTGCGTAAATTCATTAGGACACAAATACAGACGACAACTCGAACAAAGGCATGGAAGGGGAGAGAGATTCGTTTAAGGATACGGACACTGGAAACGTTTTCTTTATGGCCACAGACTCAACTCTTGTCTCTGTGTTTGTGTGTGTTGACAACCTCCCCGCATAAATTTGGGGTAGGAGGGGTGTAGCCATTGAGCTCGGGGCTTGCCAAACAATTAGACGCCGAAATATTTATAGGCGAGCAGCTGCGACCTAAACCCCAACCCCCAATTCTTGGAGTCCCAAACCCGTATCCAATGGGACGCTGCCCACTTTTGTGTCATCGACGCAATTTAAGCAACTGAATGATAAATTGTTGGAAAATTACGTGCATAAAAAGGCAACCGGCTATGGCCGGAAATTTATGTTTAATAATTTTATGTTGTCGCCCGAGGCTTTCGAGGATTTTTATGATTCACCATTAAATGTACACAACTCACTGGCACCGCCAAGGCGAATGGGGAAAAGGCAACAGGGGCCGAAAGGGTGAATCCGCTTGAGGCCTCACCCTGTCGTCGAGTAGACCTAGCTGTATGCCACATGAGCTTCTCGACACGGTTCGGCTCCTAGGTATTGGAGAGTTCAGGGGCCGCGGTATTTATGTTTCATCAGCTGTCATGTCGTGTCATGATAAATAAGGTCTTCTTAGCGCAGCCATCGCTCACACGCCAAAGGAAATGAGTGCGCAAAATGCGCAGCAGAGTAAAAGGTAAAATCAGCCAAGACAATGAAACAAGCGAATTCACTCAGTCAGTCACTTGTCATTTCCCAGCTGGTTCTTGGGTCTTAAGTGAAACCGGCTTAATCATTGCTATTCTCAAAGCTTATTAGTAGACAAATAGCACAGGAGAAGTCAAAGAGCTACTTAAATGTACATCTTCTTCTATTTTTCTACAATCGGTAAATGCTGTTCACAGCGTATCATTGCCCTTTGTAGCTAAAATATTTCGATTACACCTCTACAACTTATTATACCCTATGCCCATGAAATCGATTAAAAAAAGAAAGTGTATTATGAACACTCATAACGTATATAAATATCCTTCATCTAAAGTGCTCAAAAAGTGGGTGTTTGGAATCGATTTTTATCGACTCTTTTAATCCGATATGATAATTAAAATGATGAACGGTATAAGATGACAAGATATAAAAATATCGATAAGAAATCGATTTCAGACTCCCGTTATTACTTATACTTGACGGTTATTGAAAGCACATATACATCTGAAATGGCTTTGAAGAGAGGAAAATAGGTGGAGAGCTAAATTTACTTAAGAATTATTTCAGATTATAAAAATCAGAGATATTTTCTTAGGATGAGTAAGGGGTGTGTATTATATTCGTCTAAGTATTCATATTTTATTTATAGTTTAGCTTGAAACTGAAATACAATCTGAGATACATTACGACACCACTTTATGGCCATTAAACTTTCGCTTTAAGGAAATCGCGTTTGGGGTTTTGGCGCAATAAATAAAATGAAATTGATGCAATCATTTATCGCATCGATTAGTCTACACTCTGAAGATCCTAATGGATATAATTGGCAAACGGGGGGTTTGGGTTTTTTTTTCCAATTTATTGCTGGCTTTTATTATTCATATACTATAAGCATTTACTTGGCAGCTGTTGTACCTATCAAGTAACTGTTATATAAAAAAATGCAATTTTTAATCAATTTTTATTTTATTTTTTTTTTTTTGCAAAAGTGCTTATCGAAGGAAACTTTACAACAACTTTTGCATTGGCTTTTGTTGTTGGGAAAACTATAAGCTATAAAATTGCTTAATCAATTGAAAATTGCGCAGTCGGTTGTAAATGTCGCGCTGACAGCCGGAAAAGCCGCCATTTAAATGAAAACTGATGCAGAAAAAAAAAAGCAACAACAAAAAAATGAAAGTTTTCATTATATTTTGTATTTAACGGAGCAAAAACTGTGTCAATGCTGGCAAATTACAATTACAAATTGCAATTAATTAATTAAAAAAAATTAAAATGCAGCCGCTGTTAATGGTAATGCAGATTGACTGACTTACCGATTGACTGACTGACTGAACTGACTGAACTGGCTAACTGACTGACTGAACTGACAGCTACTGCTGCTGCTACAAGTAGCATTTCAATAGACTTGTTTTCTAAGCCGCCCCTGAACTACTTTGAGGCATATACATCAAAAACGGCTAAGCTGACGTGGTGGAGAAGCTTGCATCTAAATACGACTAGCTGCCATATCTAACACATATATATATATATATATATATATATATATATATTTATATTTATATATTCAGCTGCACTTGTATGGCAAACAACAAATGCGCAATTAGCCAGTTGCACAATGCAATTAAAACAAATGCATCTTCGATACTCAAAGTGCTATTTAGTTCTGGTTCATTTGCATCTGTATCTGTGTCTGTATCTCAAAGTTCAGTATCATTAGGTACTAATTCTATTCTGTTGCTTGCTGTGATGCTAATTCTACGTTAATCAATCATCTTGTTGTTCTTGTTGTTGTAGTTGTTGTAAGCAAGAAGACAAACTGCCAGCGGCTTCTTTGTGGTGCGTGTGTTTGAGTCTGACTGAGTTCTGGGGGGAGGCGAAGGGGTCGTTGCCACCTCGACATGGGGCCCTGCAATTTGAATTCTCTTTTACAATTCAACACAGAAATCATTCGCATCACACAAATGTGCTGCGAGTACACTTACAGAGTGTGGCTTAGCGACGGGGGGGAGGAAGTTCGGGACACATATCCATATACATATACATATATATATATTTATATTTATGCAAAGCAAGCTGTGAAGCTGTGGGAAACAACAGTGTACAGTGCAATTGAATGAATTTTTGCCACATCAAAGAGACTGATTGATATGAATTCCAAAAATCATATTGGAATATTTCAAACAGATCTATGCGGAAAGATATGACGTGCTTAACAAGCCTAGTGAAATGAGTCTGGTTTTTTTGCCAACGGGTCTCATTTCGACAAATCCAGAAATGAATAGTCCGAAATCGGCAAATGCAACAGCAAGTGAACTGGCTCATAATTAATACGTCTAAAAGGAAAAGTGGCCAACAAGACTGAGAAAACCAAAAATGAAAACTTTTCGCCAGGCCACACGAAATCGAAAGATTCACTTTCGGGGCGTTGCAGGGGCGTGGGATGTGAAATGTGTATTGGCGGCAGCAATAACGTGCAAACAGCAACTAATTAAATAACGAGAAAATTAATTCGCACACTGAAAACGAATTTTTGTGTTAAATAAATTAACATAGCAAAGCATTTTATTTGTTTGCGTTTCTCATTTTCATAATTTTCTCCTTCAGTCATAAATGCACTTTTCTCTCTTGCGTAATTTAAATTGAATAAACTTGAAGAAATGAGGCAATTGGTAAGTGAATACATATATATATATACTTAGTAGGTGTATATAATAGCCACATATATACATATCGTACACTCGTAATTAGTAGGAATATTAGTAAGCAGCCACAGATAATAACATTGGCACATTTTGCGATGAGAAGACGAATGGCGAGTACAAAAACGAAAATGGAAATAGCAAATTAAATAATGATTTTCACAAGAGCTAGCCAAACAGCACAGTCTACAGATGAATGAATGAATGGATGGATGGACCGATGGACGGATGGATGGATGGATGGACCGATGGACGGATGGATGGATGGATGGATGGCTTCAATTTGAGTTTTAGGCCGCTGACAAAGCGTTTTCTGTATTTGTTTCGCTTTTGTTTGCCTCAATCCAGAGCCCAGAGCCCAGACCCAGACCCAGACCAAGACCCAGACCCGACACTAAAGCTGTGCTGAGTTGGGCTCAGTATTAGATTGCTTC